AATATGTGGAGAATGGAATCCATTAAAGGGGACTTCAAGCTCATGGTAAAGATGAAATTAAAAGATAATGGAGTTTGTCCATGAACTGTTTAAAGCCTCTTTGTGTGTGTGTGTGTGTGTGTACATACATGCACACGACTATATAAATGTAATACGTACTCAACCAGTCCTTTATGGATGGATTTCCTTTTTATTTAAGTTGTTTTCCTTTCTAGCCTATTCAAACAATACTGTGTATTTTTTAAAATTATTTCTTTTGGACAAATACGTTTTAAAAACTTTTTTTCCTTCCCTCTGTCATGTCAAATTCCTCATTGGGAAACACCATTTTAAATTCCCTTGTGCACTCCATCCGATTACCTGTGTCATCCTCCTCTGAACGCTCCATTCCTATAGTCTCCGTGTTTTAAATTGCTGTCACTACAAGTCAGACAAAGTATATCTAACCTAGGTTTGCGTTTACTCATTAGCTTAAAATTGTTTTGTAGGTGTGTACGTCATGTGTATTTCCTGCTTTATGAATAGATGTGTGTCTTTTCCCTCCGTTATTATTTATATCCGTCACTGATTGATTGCTGACGCTCTTGGCCCGTAAGGATTCTGGTCATTCCTCCGTGGAACCCACTGGACGGCTCCTGTCAGAACAAACGCGTGCACATATTATGTAACGTTCACGCCTTCCCTCCGAGTTACCGGTCTTTTCATTTCCATCACTGATGAGCAAGCCTTTATCCAGATTTGTTTGAGGAGATTTGCTAGTGGCTGTGAATCTGTTTTCCTTTGATTCCTGGTAATTAAAAAAATCTATATATTAACTAAACTACTCTAAGTAATTCAATATTTTACTGAGATTTCATTATGCACGTTTGCTGCCTAAAGTTCCCTTTTTTATTTCAATAACTTTTTGATGCGTACATAAAACCACTTAAGTGTTTGTGGTGAAAACTGTGTAATGCGGACAAGAGTAAAAATGTTTAAATGTATGCATCATTGAACCAGCACATGGCGCATCTGATCAGATGTTAGAAGTATTCTGTATGTGTGCAGTTAGGGGGACACTAGCTGAAGTCACACGAAAACCCCAAATTATGGTTTAGCAGAGTGGGAAGTTATGCTGCGCTAACTCCAGCGTAGGTGCTTCTGATGGGTGACCTGCCCTTCACTGCGGAGACGTGGGCCAGGCTCCTTCCAAAGGATGGCTGTGCAAGGCCCAGGTTTAGAGTTTTCTGCATCCCTGTGACCAGCCGATGGAGGGAGAGGGCATGCCAAAGGCGCGCCACGTTCTGACCTCCACGGCCGGCCAGGCTCTCTGCTACTTCCACCCGCAGCCTGGTGGGGAGGCCTGCTGGTGCGAGCTCATGCGTTAAGTTTGGAGCCACCAGCAGCTCCTCGGGAGAAAGACTGGGCTTTCCGCTCCCCTGAACATTTACAGCCTCAGACACCCGTCGAGGGTGGTGCTGAGTCCGCACTGACTCCAGAGCGGGGAGTTGGGTTTGGGTCTAGTGGCTTGGTGGGAATCATTGTGTGTTGCCATCTCAATGCAAGAGATGGAGTCCTGGTGGCCCGGTGGTTAAGTTCTCCGCTACTCGCCAGAAGGTAAGCGGTTTGACCCACCAAGTGCGCTGCTGTAAAAAGATGCAGCCTCTGCGGAGTGGAGATCCAAAGCCCATTAGTAGGCCACTGGAGATCTCCTTGCAGAGGGGTCTTGGGGAGGAGACGAGCCAGTCAGGGTGCGATGTAACAACGATGAGAAATACAACTTTCCTCTAATTCCTAAATGTTTCCTCCCTGCTCCCACTACCATGACTCGAATTTGACCTTGCAAGTGTGGCTAGACCAGAGGAGGTACACTGGTACAGATAGGAACTGAAAATACCGGGAATCCAGGACGGATGAGCCCTACAGGACCAGTGGTGTGAGTGGCAAAACAGGGAGGGTAAAGGGAGAATGGGTAGGAAAAGAGGGAACCGATTACAAGGAACTATATGTGACCTCCTCCCTGGGGGACAGACGACCGAAAAGTGGGTGAAGGGAGACGTCGGACAGGGCAAGATATGACAAAATACCAGTTTATAAACTATCAAGGGCTCATGAGGGAGGGGGGAGCGGGGAGGGAGGGGAAAAATGAGGACCTAATGTCGGGGGTTTAAGTGGAGAGAAAATGTTTTGAGAATGATGTACAAATGCGCTTTACACAATTGATGTGTGTATGGATTGTGATAGCAGTTGTATGAGCCCCTAATAAAATGTTTAATTAAAAAAAAAAGATGCAGCCTCCTGCTTCTGTACAGGTGAATGCAAACTGCAGACCCGCTGCCAGTGCGTGGATGCCAGCTTCATGGCGACCCTAGAGGACAGGGTAGAATTGCCCATGTGGGTTTCAAGGTCATAGCTCTTTATGGGAGTAGAAAGCCTCACCTTTCTCCCGAAGAGCGGCTGGTGAAGATGCAGTCTTGACAAACCTTTGGAACACTTCTGCTCTGTCCTGCAGGGGAGCGTTGATACTCAAGAGGCAATGTGTTTAGGTTTGGGGGAGGCTTTAGATGCAAGGGGGGCTGGGAAATGTAGTCCCTGCCTGGGCAACGCTTTCCCACTGGAAACCCTGCCCTGGGGAAAGGGAGCCTGAATGTTTGTTGGACGTTTTGCTACCATTCGTTATGCTGATCATGTGAACGACATATATCTTCTTCACGAAATGGAATCATCCTATTACACGTTTTGAACATTAGTATCATTTGGTCATCATTTCCCCATCTTTAAATCTTTCCTGAGAACAAGATTTTTGTTAATGTTATTGTGTTGTTCTTTGCATCGATGCACATAATTTATTTAGCCATCTTTCTGTTGTGGTACCGTTAGGCGTTTCTAGATTTTCATTCTTATGAAGAGCGCTGCTATAAATGTCCCTGTGCATAAATCCTCAAGCATTCCTCTGATTATTTCCCTGGGGAAGATTCCTGGACGTGCACATGCTCAGTGTGAACGCTGGTGATCCCTATTACCAGATGGGCCTTCAGAAACTCGGGCGAGGCGAGGCTCCCATGGGTGATGTAGGAGAATCCTTGTTTCAGAGCACCCTTGACTATATACTGGGTGTTGGAGTTGTTTGGATTTGAAGGGTCAGGCTGATCGTTGAAAGTGGTGCTGACTTGTTGCATTGAAAGTGGCATTGTATTGAAAACCACTGCAGTTTGTTTTTTGTTTTAATTTGCAAGCTTTGCTTACTAATGGGCTTCAACATTTTTTTTTGCCTTTT